GGGGGGGAGGAGAACGAGAAAGAGACAGGAACAAGCAATTAAAAGCTCTGTGACATGTTGCTTAGACATCTTGCTGTTTGTTTGTCGGCGGGGGGAGCTGAGGCCCTGAGCCATGGTGGATCGCTGGGTGCACATGGGGAGGGAGTTTGCCCAGTTTGCTGACCCACAACCCCCTGCAAACGCACGCAGTCCTCTCAACCCCCACCACACCCCAAAGTGGTTGACAGTACGACTGTCAGAAAAAGGAGTGGACCTCTTTATCTACTTTTGCTCTCTTCATCTTCCACAGAGCCCCCCCACCCTCTTGCAACATACTCACTAAAATCCAACATAGAAAATCCATCTGCTACATTGCTGTGCACGTACTGAAAGAAAGCTTGTCTGGAAGGCACTTGCAGACCTCCACTAAGCAAAAACAATCATGCCGGAAAGAGATTTTGCTCTCCTCCCTTAATGGACTGAGTCATGCTCAACTGTCGACCGGAAGCCAACCTTTTTCTCATGGTTCTAAGTTGTGACACACATTTATCCAAGTCAAGAACTATCAATAGCATACATGTGTCTGCAAAATGAGTTGGGAGGTGGCACAGGTAGATGCTGAGATTACGAGCTGCCAATCAAGAACGTGAGGAAGAAAATGGCAACTGTCAAATAAAACAGTTATGCGCCGAGAAACATAACTGACACGTCGGTCAAAATCATGTTATTATCCAAATAAACAGTCAACAAATATTTCAATGTACAGTGTCCGACGGTGCAAATGAATTCATTGCATCACAATGAACCGCTATTGTTCCCCTCCGATATGAAATCCATCTTAGCATTAATGCCAAGAATGGCACAAGTGAAGCGGCCAAAAATTGCGCAACAGCCAAAAGACAACAGAGGGAGGTTTGGTTTAAAATGTCAGCATACGGCATTAAAACTGTCAGCGGTACAATTTAGTGGGATGGGAGTAAACTATTGGCTATACTAATGTTACGGTGAACAACTTCACTCAGCTGCTTGGGAGTTTTCTTTTTTTTTGGGGGGGGCGGGGAGACGGCAACATATCAAAGTATGTTTTCCCTTGTCGGAGAGCACGCGTTTGTGTGCGCGCTGAAGCAGGGCGACGGCAGAAAGGGAAAGAGCGCGGCCGCGAAGGAATGCTTGGAGAAGACATTCGCCTGATAAGATAAAAGTTCAATAGAAGAAGGAGAACATGTAAAGAGATTACAGCGTGCAGCTGGCGTCCTTCTGAATCACTGCTTATCTGCTCTTGTTTACTTTCACCCCGGCCCATTACGGCGTTGTGCAACAACTTTGTGTGTCTACTGCTGCGAGTGAGGGTCACTCGTGGAATGGTGGGGGGTCTCGAAAAGCATACAGGCTATTTTGCATTTTTTGCACTCACCGACCTTGACTCCCAAGGCCCGGGCTGACACATTTACGAGCCATCTCTCACTTAAGCTCCCCGACCGGCCAAACATGACAAACACGACTTGCACGCCTGCAACAATGAAAACCTACTTTCTTATTCATGTGTTTTTGTTTTTCAGGATGAATATTAAATTGCAAAAACGGGAAGATAGCTGAAGGGTAAGTTAACCCAGCTGATGTTGATGGAAGCTGCATCAAAACAAATATTTTCCGATACTCCCCGTTCGACGTGTGCGCAATTCCTCTTTTGTCCCACCAATGATAGCTTTAACTCAAGCTAATGGACGAATCCAGAAACCCGTGGCGGAGGTGATTATGGTGAAACATCTGCCCCGTGTAACAAATCCTCTGCAAATATCAACAAGACATGTAAAAATTCCATTGGGACATGTGTGCAGAAATTACTGTCAAAATAAAAGCGACCGGCTCATGTGAGATTTGCTGCAATCCGATGCAGGGGGAAATTAACATGAATTTCAACAAAATGTTTTTTCTTTTTCTTGCTCCAAGTGTCACAGCAATCAGCAAAATCAAAAAAATGAAACGATATTTTTGCGCAAGGGAATCATGCCATCAGAATTTGATACTTATGAGTTAAAACACCATGTACCATCCCCGACTGGACTGGACTGAAAATTGGGCCTTAGTCACACAATCTCCTTGCAAATGAATCGCATCGCACGGTGCTGTTCTATTGATCCGAAATTCCAAATAAACAAAAGGGTGTCGCCAGTGTACCATGCGTGCGCATGCACCCGACACCGTTCAATTGATCCAGTCTCTTCGCAAGCAGATGCGGGCTAGAAACTGCGCACTCGCTGTAGAAAAGTCTCCAAACCCATAAAACAGCTGTCACCTACTAACTTCACTTTTCGGAAAGTTGCCTGTCTTGCTCTCTCGTCCAACCCATTCTCATCTCCGCCACTCGCTCTCTCTGGATTAGGATGGTTTATTCATGATTATAGTGTAGTGTACTATGTGTGTGTGCGTGTTTGTATAAGCTCAAGGCAGGCCACTAGAGTGTGACAGCAGGCCAGCACTGTGACAGGAGACACCTTGGAGACTGTGACAGGCTGCCAGCTGTACACCATCATTCACATTTCTCTCTCACGCGGACGCACACACATGCGCGGGCACACAAACTGGACGACTCATCTTTCTGCACGTACATCTCTTCATCTCCTCGAGAACGTCTGCATCCTTATCCTGCCGGGCCTGATTTTCGTGACCATCCTTTGTTCTTTCCACTTGGCCCTTTCAGGGATTCAAATTGAACTTGTATTTTTTTTTTCCTGTCCCCGTCAATGGAAGAGTCTCTACAACCTTTGTTTGTACCTTCTCTATGCTGTTCACTCGCCTTTAAATTGTTTTTTTTTGGGCTGTCTTTACGGTGACGTCATTTGCCCCTCATCTGAACCATTTGGTCCATACAACCCAACCCAGCGGGCGCTGATCTCTAAATCCCATCGCCTCCTTTTTTTTTTTCCCTCGTCTCTCCTCCTCACCATCCAGTGACCTCTCTGACCTCGGAGGGAGGGAATTATCTCTGTCCGAGGAGAACAGAGCAGTATACTGCTGGGGTGCCCCGACCTCACATGCACCCGCTGCTGCGGGCACCCATATTTATACACCACCCAGAGCATTATCAAGGGTCATTGCTAGCCTCACTCTGTGGCGTGAAGCACCATCTGTGCTGCACTTCCAGTGTGAATGTGTGCGTGTGTGTGTGTCTGATCACACTGAGCAATGCTAACACTGTTCAGATTGAAGATCCGACTGTGTTGGGGTTGTTAACGCGGTGTACCTGAGAGCGTGTGTGTTGCTTTGGGGGTCTCTGTGTTTGGTTGTCAGTGCATACGACAATTATAAATGGTGGTGATGTAAATCAAAGTGTAACATCAATCCAATTTTCCTATTGCTTTTTTTTTTTTAAGCCCTCAATGTTGCAATGCAGAAAAATAGCTCATAATAAGACTCTTACTTCATCAATGAAGTGACTTACTAGGTTAATGAGTGCAAGTGCACCTTATTTTTGCTCGTCTCATTCCTCCTTGTGGACGAAAAAGGTGTTTTTAGTTCTATGGTTCTGGGTAATCAACACAAATAGAAAATCGTTTAACATTCCAATTATAATCTGTCCCGCGCATCCCTTGGATAGGTCAAAAATAGGAAAAAACGAGACAAGAGGGATGGTACAACCTTGAAGACCAAAACATACTCGGTACCAAACCAAAATATATCTACAAGCGGGAGTTTTAGAAATAAAAGTATACGTGTGTGCGTGTTTTGTGTTTGCGACATCCCTTGCTGTTTAGCAGCTCCGCTCTCTTCTAGTCATCATCTGTATGTGGGAGGTCAGGTCCTGCAAGTGGTGCAAGAAGTCGCACCAGAAGAGGCCCTTGCTAAAATGCAGCTAAGGAGGATTATTTGTGACTTCTTATGTGCTACAGGTTTAGGTCAGGAAGGTGAGATGCTGACCACATACGGAAAGACTTGACTGTCACAATGTACTGTACAGAATACTTGACACTTTTTTAAAGCTGACAACATGGCTCCAACCTGTCTTTTGAATAGCACTGAATGTACGGGCGAAAATGTGAAAAATATGTATCCCCTGTGCAACATAAAATGAATCGAGCGTTATTATATTCTGTCTATCTGACGTCATTGTGATGCAAAGGTGTTGCTAATGTAGTGACTGCAGCGTGTACACCTCATTTGGGTCCGCGTGTGCGTATATTTTACCTGCTGCATCCAGTCCTGTGTGCTTTTGCTGGTCTCCTGCAGCCACATGCTGTGAGCCGAATCCGTCAGAGCCACAGCACACACTTTGTTCCTTACCTCAGCTTCCCTCTGATTCATCTACAATGAAGAGAGAGAGAGAGAGAGAGAGAGAGAGAGAGAGAGAGAGAGAGAGAGAAAGTAAGTGGCACAGTCTATGATGGTGACTTGTCATATGTTCACTGCTTGCCAAATGACACATTGACAGAGTCAATATCATGACTTTAGCATGACTAATGCATCCGGTTTTCGATTTTCAGCAACAATGCCATTTCTTTTGAGGATGGCGGTTACAAATACATTTAACCAGACGTATAGCATAATATTATCGTGAAATATAAAAGAGCTGCTCGACGACAGCGTGTCCTTGTCACGTACTGTGCAAACGACCTTCCTTGTGCACGTTCAAATACCTCGGCTCCCATTCTTAATACCTTTTCCCTTCACATGTCACAGACAGTGGCGTCTGCAGGACCATCTTCCTATTCCCCCCTGAATGTCAACGCCAAGGAAAATGTCACACAAAGGACTTGTTACCGCACTACAATAGACTTCCCACACCGCTGGACCCACCCCAAGGAGTACTGGAGCCAGACCTTGGGAGTGAGCCTTTTCAATGTGCTTCACATTAAGATAAAATAGTGAAGAAAGGAGAACAGGCCTTACGACAATAGGTTAACAATCTCTTGCTCTGTACATTTAGTAAGGCTGTGACGGGAAACGTGCATCGGCGTAGTACAGTGTTACATTTGGTGATCTCTGGCTCTGAAATGTTTACATGCCGTAAAAAAAAAAAAAAAGTCTGTTATGTCACATAGTGCATATTTTGTTTGGTATTTTGCAACACTACCGAAGTAATGTTGGCTCAGGCTGTGACGGGAAACGTGCATTGGCGTAGTACAGTGTTACATTTGGTGATTTCTGGCTCTGAAATGTTTACATGGCGTAAAAAAAAATAAAAGTCTGTTATGTCACGTAGTGCATATTTTGTTTGGTATTTTGCAACACTACCGAAGTAGTGTTGGCTTTGAATTGTCCTTCTGTGAAATACGTAATGGATTAGTCGAGTTTTTGAAGTTTACATGGCCATAAAGGCCATTAGTTTAATTTTCTAGCATAAGACTACTACTACAACTTGGAACAAAAATGGGATTACACGATTACACACCGTCACAAAAATATTCACTTGACATGTTGACAGATGATGCCACTAACCTTGCGTCCAGTTATAGGAAAAAGCATGTTAATGTCACCCCGATTGGCCCGGGCGATTAAAGCAAAACGTTTTACGAGTTAGTGCACATGGTATGTAGAGTAGCGGAGCTGATTTATAGTATGAAGGATGTATTTAAAAGTGTGAATTTATTGAGTCAGATGGGTGTCTCAGACAACAGGAAGGATACAAGGCTTTTGGAAAACTGAATTCATCCTCAGTTAAAGCAAAACGTTTTAAGAGTTAGTGCACACTCTATATATGTATGTAGAGTAGCTGAGCTGATGTATAGTATGAAGGATGTATTTAAAAGTATGAATTTATTGAGTCAGATGGGTGTCTCAGACAACAGGAAGGATAGAAGGCTTTTAGAAAACTGAATTCATCCTCAAACTGCCTCTGAACATGTTTGAGGGAGGCAACATCAATGCACCTTCAATCCCGTAACCCATCAATGTATGACGGCCGCCTCAAGCAACTGAAAGACGATGGACCCTCAAACAAAAACTTACAAAGGTGGCGATATGCTTTACGTTGGCCATTGTACACTCTAAATTCACACATAATGAGATATTGGGGCGGCCCAGTGGTCGACTGGTTAGCGCGTTGACCTCACAGTGCAGAGGTCGTGGGTTCGATCCCGGCTTCGACCTTCCTGTGTGAAGTTTGCATGTTCTCCCCGCGCCTGCGTGGGTTTTCTCCGATTACTCCGGTCCCCCCCACATTTCAAAAACATGCAGGCGTGAGTGAGCATGAGTGGTTGGTTGTCTCTATGTGCCTTGCGATTGGCTGGCAACCGGTTCAGGGTGTCCCGAAGTCAGCTGGGATAGGCTCCAGCACCCCCCGCGGCCCTTGTGAGAATAAAGCGGATCGGAAAATGGATGGATGGATGAAATAGTGTACATGCTTATATGTGCACCATAGCATCAACCTTCTGATTTGGCTTCTCTGACTGTCCAGCCGAACCTACGCTGGTTCAAGAATTTGCTTAAGGCTAATTGACCAGGAAGCAAAATCATAAAAAGAAAGGTATTTCAACACATGCCTTTCGTGACAGCTAGATTAATAGATACAATATCTATATTGGACTATATTTGCTATAACACGAATGTAAAAGTAAAAAAGGAGAAATACAAAGATAAAATCTACACTCATGTCTTTTCCATTCTACAACCTCTTACAATCATGCACACACAAAATCATCTGCATTGCATTGCCGTCCATGCATGGTTGAAGAGCTTTCCACTGGCAGAACAGGCCCTATGGGAGTAGCAAAGCCAACCCTTTAAAACCTGAAGTGTCAAGGCAAGTTCCTGTTTCCTGGCATGAGCCAGACTCTGTCCCTGTGTCAAAGGGGGCCATAACAGAGGCCAGCAAAGACAAGAAAGCAGACTGGCCGTGGAAAACTTACATCATGATGTCTATCGAGGGGTTTGTAGTCCAAACTTAATATTTACTGTTCCAGTTGACGGATGTATCGTTGTGTGCAGTTATTGATGGCGCCGAACAGAAATGAGAATGGCGTTGGAAATATTGACTGTGGAACTAATGGGATTCGTCAGTCGTCACTGAAATAAAAACTGGAAGAGAATCGGTCATCACAAACAAAAGGGAAACTAGCAAACAGCCATTGGTCAGTGGTTTCATAACTCGCCATTCTCAAAGCCGGACTGAGGCTACGCTAGATGGAAAATCAGTGTGGATGGACTTAAGAGTTAATTGAGTACTTTGCAGAGTATCAATAACATCGCACGGTAACCAGACACTTCATTAGGTACACTTCAATATGTGACAAGAGCCTCCCCATGTCACGTAGTTCAATGAGAAAAACCAAAACATTCGGAATTCTGCTCATGATTCAGTGTGGTTCTTCTCTCACCACTACAAACCACATCTGCAACTGTGAATATGTTCATCCTATTTGAACATTGGCAACGAAACATTTGAAAATATGATATTTAGGAAGGCAGAGAGTTTCACATAGATCCCATATCCGATCATTTTGTGCAGGTGTACCTATTCAGGCCATCCATCCGTCTTATGATTTGACAAAAAAAGCCATGACTGGGATGATGTCGCAGTGGTGCAGATAGAATGCATGCATCTGGAAGTCCAATACCCGACTTTCATATTTGGACAACGCAAGATTAATCATGTGAGGACAGGCTGGCTCATGTTGCGTTCTTAGTCACAACAAGGCACTTCGTGCAAAATGTAATTGCTTTGAAATACAACAACAAACCCCCATTGTTTCTTCTCTCTCAACGGAATGTGTTCTCTCTCATGTTTCGCCATGATTCCCTATTCAAAGATCAATTCCCATTCAGAGACACTTAACCGATGTCATCAGTTTGCTAAAATTAGGAAGAAAAATACACGTGGAACTCTCTTCCAAACAGGGCTTCTTAAATAACTCCATCCTCCGGCGCGGGCGATATCAATCAGCCTCTCTGACAGCTCTCATTGCACACATATGGTCGGCTGTTGCAACATTCGGGGTAATAGGTTGACAAATAGGCCCTCAAAGCAATGTGCCTCTAAATTATGGTAAGAGTTTGCTCTTCCAAGCCACAGTGACAACTGTGGTTACCGAGTGTGAAACGCAAATACAACCATCTTTGGCACTCGGTTCCGACGACAATGGCACTCAGGGAGCACACACTGAAACCAAGGCAACCTCAATTTGGACCGGCAACATATCATTGAAGCACGACCCGCCTCTCAGCAAAGTTCTGTGGGATCTAGTTAAGGCATTTTGTATAATCCCACTGACAAAGGAAAAAAAAAGAGGTGTTATCTCCTCGGCGGAGGGAGCTCAGTGTGTAACGACCTACGTTATCCCCAATGTTAGACACGGTGATCCCCTATGCAAACACTTGCTTTATCGCGCAAACAGACCAGCTGTTGTGTCTTTGCGTTGGACAGGAAAAATGGAACAGAAACATGTGGATACACTTGTTGGGCTAAAACCAACATGCAGATGTTGAGGGGTTTCGGTAATGTAAAAGCAGCTGGATGTATAGAGTAAAGTTCAGGTGGGGGTTGGCCATGGTATGGTGGGGTGCGGTGGCGGGCCTGACTGTAGATGAGTCAAAACAGATAAGGGAAAGAGAGGAATGAAAACAATGAGAAAGAATGATGTGAAGTGAAAGTATTTCATAATGAACCCTGACGAGCATGGGTGTCTTTTTTTTTCGTTTATCACGCCGCTGCAGCTGTAACAAAGCACTTTACAGAACATTTCAAATACAACATCCAAGAAATCAGAATATTGATCCGTATATAAAGCGCATCGGATTATAAGGCGCACTGGCGACTTTTGAGAAAATTGAATGCTTTTGGGTGTGCCTTATAGTGTGGAAAATACGGTAAATTTTACGCTAAAAAGAATAGTGAATAATATTGAGTTCAATTTTTGTGCATTATTCAAGGAGTGTTTTTAAGTAAAGTCTACTTGCGTAGTCATAGCTTGTTAAATAAAAAACGTCACTCAAAGGTTGAGGAAGGAACCCACAACCTTTAGGTTGGGAGATGGCCACACTACCACCTGAGCCTTGCCGTTACAACAGTGAGTGAGTAAATAGCCTGTGTCAAGCGAACTACACAAAAGTCCAAGAGGGAGGCCGAGAGCGAAATCAGCGATTTTCGAACTCACAATAGGAGGGCCAACAGTTGATTGTGGGTTCGTTCCTCAACACTTAAGTGACCGTATAGCGTGGCTATCCTCATTGTGACATGAAGTTAACTGCAACTGCACATCGCATTTACAATCTTCTGGGCCACGAACACACAGCTGAGTCACCGCTGGTGGCCATGACTCAACTTCAGCCCCTCCCAGCATCCAGTGAAACTCTGGATGAACTATGAA